AAGCAAATTTGGGACCTGATTATATGAGGCTATAAAGGAACGCAGGAACCACATCATGGAGGGACCTATACGATGCCATGTTAAGGAGTGAGAAATCAATGTGATATGTTTGTACATAAGCTACAGTCTATAGACATTTTCTAAATTTCTGAATTTTGATATCTGCTCAAGTTTGCCACACAGATTTATAACCTTGGAAACCTACACTTTTAATCCAAAATGTATGCCTTTGTGTACAAATTACATATACCCGTTTTAAAGATAAATCAGAAAATTTTACAAAAATATAAAGACATATAACAGAAAAACATAAAAAACACATACATAAATATCTTTTAAGATATGGTGTCATTTATTCTTTTGCTTTCTAAGAGTTTAATTGCAAACACAGTATTTAACTTGTATCATGGGACCTGAATTTTATGCTGTGTTCAAATGAACCAGAAAAACTAGGTAGAACTCTTGACTAGGTGTTCTGTTTTTAAGCATGAGGCACCCTAGGCAGCATGTGCAATATGCAAATATGTATGAAGGGAAACAGACTTGCATGTTTTGTTTTCCTGAGGCATAACAGCTGATAGAGAGTTATAACTGAGTTTTAAAAGGAATACAGGTATAGATTAATTCATTCATTCAGCAGACATGAATTGAGAGCCTACCAGGGATTAGGCACTGTGCTAGATTCTGAGAGAAAAACAGAAAAGAAGATAGCCCTTTCTTCCACAGAGCTTATGATCTTAGGGTGCTCTGAAGACTCCATCAGGATACTCTTGCAACCTTATTAAAAATAAAAATTATTAGGCCCAACCCCAGAACCAACAAACCAGAATCTCTGAGAATGAGACTCTAGAATTTGTACCTCAACAAGCTCTAAGTATATTATTTTTGAAGACCATTTGTGTGATAAGGGCCTTTCTTATTGGCTGAAGGTGTTTTATTTTTAATCCTAAACGTAACGGGGAAGTCACTGAAGGGATATTAGGGAAGACTGCCAGGAAATCTTATAAAAAGTCATGTGAGGATGACGTTTAATGAAAAACAAGTAAGAGACATTTGCAAGAGGCTATTTGCATAGTTCAAGAAAGATAATTACGGAGCTGGTCTAAGGAAGTAGCCGTGAATAGATATCAGAATAAAATTATGAAAGGTATTCAGGCTATAAAATTGACAGACTTCTGTGATATATGTGGAAAGAAACGGTGTAAGTTTGGTAAAATATGGGGAGAATTAGTTCAATTTTGCATTTGCAGTACCTGTAAGACACCCAACCAGAGGTTTCTGTAGAAGATAATACACATCTATTGCTCAGGTGACACATCAAGGCTGAAAATGTAAATTTACATGTTGCTGTCAACTAGATAATATTTGAAAACAAAGAGGCAAAATAAATACAAAAATTAAAGGTCAAATAAGATAAATTTCAAAAGAGATAACTGTTTGACAATGACAGGGCACCAAAGACAAGCCATCCTAATTGCCTAATCCAATCATCTCCCTTGGGCCAAAACTACTTTAGCGGTCAGGAACTCACAGGCATTGGTATATATGCCTATTTCTCATACTAGAGTAGAAACTCTTCACAGTCATTTTTATTTTTCCCTTGCAGTAATATACACAGAGAAGAAATCCAATATGCATTTATTGCCCAAGTGAATGAATTTTTTAGAAGTTCCAATTTTGGATTCAGAAGTGCCAGAGATGGCAGTTTGGAGGAATATGTTTGCTAAATGGAGATATTTTGTTTGTCACTTATGAAAATGGTTCTCATTAACCACATAACCATACTATGTATGTACCTCACTGATTTGTTTACTTTATCATATGCTGAAATAAGATTTAAGTACGTTAACAAACAAGTTCTTCATTTCCAATTAAAATCTGCCTTTGAGGTCAAGGTATGTTAAGCTTTTTTCAGAGCAAAGGGCCTGTATAGCTAAAACTTGAGAGCAATACCTAATTTGGTTAGCTTTTGAGTTTCTATGGAGACTTTTTAAGTTATGGAAAAATAAAAATTTAGAAAGTCAAGGATTTTTAATCCTAAAAGCCACATTTTTAGAAAAAGAACAGGACTTGTGTTTCAAAATTTTGATTTGGGGTGTCAAATACAAATCTAAAGGAAGATGGATACAAAGTTTAGTACATAAATAAAGGACTGGAGAAAGACTGGATGAAAGATTATGATAACTGAAAATTGACTTCTTGAGTTTGATTAGATCTGAGGCAGAAGAAAAATCTGAAAGAAGAAAAATGAGTAGCTAGAAAAATGAAGTCCTGTTCCCCAGTCCCTAGTGAGGAAGGAGGCCCTTAATCCTCTTCAGCTTCTAAGGCCATTTTCCCTTCATCCTTTTCTGCATTGCATCTCAAAAGGAGAAGTAAGAAGTCAGCCAGAAGAGGGACCGGTTGGCGCTGATGGCCAGGTTAAGGATAAGACCCCTACTGCTAACCACAATCCCATCTATAGATCACGGATACGGCATGGAGGAGTCTTTTCAAAAGGCATTGTTTTTACTTACACACGATCAGACCCCTACCAAAGTCATGTACCCCACATCTACTGCATGGATCAAGGCCCTTTCACATGTAATTTCTAGAGTTGTAAGCTCACAGCCCTTTCGCATATAATTTCTAGAGTTGTAACCCTTTAAAAGGGCAAGGATTTTATTTGTTGGGGAGCTCAGTTGTTAGGCATCTATGCCCCCACAGCTCCCAGCTGAATAAAACACCACTTCCTTCCGAGTTCGGTGTTTGAGAGGTTTGTTTTCAACCCCTTCTGCTTCACTAATATTAACTGTGTGTTGGAAGGATGGAAGGAGAGGAAACCAGGGGAGGTTGTACTTGATAAAACCCACTGGGGACTTTCCTATTCTGATAAAACTAAGGCAGATCCTCAAGCCTTTGCAAACCATGGAGAATTGGAGGAGCATCAAGAGGTGTATGAAAATAAAGAAGGAAAGCCTTCAGGCATTAAAACACACACACACACACACACACACACACACAATCATTCTAAATGATTCCAAGGGAATCATTTAGAAAAGAAAAGGGATGCTGGTTTGAAGAAATAAGGAGCAAATAAAAAATGTTATCTTTGGAATTATACTGTGAGTTCTTTATGAACAGAGACAAAATCTTAAAACTCTTAGTATAGTGCTATATGCTATGTGGTAGGTGAATATTGATGAATCAATTATCAGAAAATAATCACAACTTACATAAAATATATGTTTAATCTTTAAAGAGTGTTATTGCTATCAGACTGCAATTGCTTAGAATTCCTGTGAAAAGCACATGACTACCATGGAATGAATGGCCCCCTATCTGACAGAGAATACAGCTCACCCCCTTACTCTGTTCTCCAGATGTTGCCTGAATGCATTGAATGTGTTTCTATTTTAGGGAATATGTACTTGCTAATTCCTTAGCCTGGAACATTTCACATATCATGAAATCTCTTTTCCTTTCTTCTTTCAGAATTAGGTCTACTCCAATGTCACATTAGAAAACCTTTAGGAGACAAGTGTATCTAAAGCTTCACACACACAGGCTCACATTCTTCCAAACAATCCTCCTTTTATTATTCGCCTTCATTGTCCTCCACAGTACTTATTACCACCTAATACATCATGTGTTTATTTGTTTACTATGTCTCTTCTCATTACAATGTACCTCTGAAAGAGAAAATTTTGTCTGATCTACACAAAGTTATATTCCTGAATCCTATAACAGGGCCTCACACATAAACATTCAATAAGTATTTGACAAACAAAGAAAAAATTTTTCAAGGGACAGCTAAAACATTTTTGCACTAGCACTTAATCGTATAAATTAATTCTTGAAGTAAGTCTTCTATCAGCTAGAGCTTACTACATTTTTCACTGTAAAGATTTTTATTGCTAATGCTTTTGCTTTAATGTAATGACTTGCCAAAAAGCAATCTTTTATATTACATTTTCAGCACACCTGGAAATTGGCCATTTGCCTGCGTCTAGGTTAATTGAGTAACTTACTGCATATAGTTTTCCCATCAAATCCAGGTTGTATAATAATCAGTGTATCTAAAAATGTATCTTTCATATTGGGGCTGCAAATAACATTGTTGGAGCTGAAAGGGTAAAAGTTCACTACAAATACTATTGGTTCTTAACCAATTGCTATGGCATGGAAATTTCTTAGTTCCCATTTTCAGAAGCCCTTACTGTATTCCAGAGAAGAAGCCTATTTCTTCCTCATTTGTATTTAACAACAATGTGTCCATCAGTGCACACAATCTCAGATCCCGTCTAAGTCTGCTCATCATTCTCATAATTAATTCCCTTGATTGCCTTTGGCAGCATACCATCTGCACACCTGGAAACAGTCTTTTCTCAGGGTCTGCTGTCCTTGATTAATCTCTATTAATATTGGACATTTATGAGCAGGAGAATGCTTAACTAGTTCAGGAAGCTCCTAGCTGACTTTTCAGATATTCTCTGAAGGACTGGTTGATATATTTTTCTAGGGAAGCCAGTCTCTCAGACTCATGGTCTCAGGAAATGGATTCTCAGTTTCCAAGCGCTGTCATAAATAGCAGAAGGCAGTAGATGTAACTTTTTTGAAATAAATGGGCATAAAAAGGGTCAATTTGCAAGCTGTTGTACACAAGGAAAAATTTAATGTTGTTTTTTCATAGAGTTCTTATTTCTGAAAAAAATGGAAGATTTTTCTTCATTTGGAGTTCATATAATCAGGCCCCAACACTGAATATCAACTAGATCCTGGGGTGGGGTGGAGAAGAAATACACTTTAATATAACACCTACGAAAAACTTGACATATATCCCATGGATATGTGAATTCTGTGTCACATCCCCTTTAATTTGGGAGTGATTGTAACTGCTTTGACCAGTGGAATACAATGGAAACAACAGTATGTGACGTTCAAGGCTAACTTATAAAATAGCATACCAGTTCTGCCTTATTTGCTTTTAGATTCCCAAGCCTCAAGATGAAAAGTCTACCCACCATCAGTCCACCAAGTTGAAGAAGAAGGATTCAGCCCCAACTAAGTCCAGTCTTCTAATCATCCTTGTCAAAGCACCAGAAATATGAGTGAAGCCATCCAGACCAGCCCATTCACTGATGTCACTGGAACAAAAGAATCACACAGATGACCCATATCTAAATTCTGACTCCCTTAATAATGGGATATTAAAATAGTTTTTAAATCTCAGTAGGTAACAGCAACTCTTAATGAATTTCAAAAAGTGAGAATTACACAGATAGCATTCTCTGATCTCAGAGCCATAAAGTTTGAAATGGCAGATAACTTTCAAGTACCCTTATCTTTAGAAAATAAAACTAAGTAAGTCATGGAGAAAACAAATTTGTGAAATTTTAACAATAGTATTGTTCATTAATTAAAATTCTGCATATAAATCTTGTGGGATAAACAGTGATTATTTGAAGAAAATGCATAGCTTTAGTGTTTATATTAGAAAAAAGAAAAAAATTCAGAATTAGCATAAAATAACATATTGTACTAGATGAATATATATAATTTTTATTTGCCAAGTAAAGTAACAAAATGAAAACAACATTATGGAGAACCATATGGAGGTTCTTCAAAAAACTAAAAATATAACTATCACATGATTCAGCAATTCCATTATTGCAGATATATTCAAGAGAAAGTAAATTAATGTATCAGAGACATCTACACCCCTTGTTTATTGCAGAAGTATTAATAATAGCCAAAATATGAAATCAACCTAAGTGCCCATCGATAGATGAACGGATAGAGAAAATGTAGTACATATACACAATGGAATACTATTTGACCATAAAAAGAATGAAATTTTGTCATTTGCAACAACATGGATGGAACTGGAGGCTATTAAGTGAAATAAGTCAAGCACATAGAGAAAAGCATCATGCATTCTCACTCATATGTGGGAGCTAAAAAAAGTAGATGTCATGAAGATAGAGGGTAGATTGGTGGTTACCAGAAGCCAAGAAGGAGAGGGAGGAGGAGAAATGATGGGCCGAAAGAAAGAATATAAATATATTCATTACCACTAAACTGTGCACTTGAAAATAGTAAAGAAGATAACTTCTGTATGTATATTTTACTCTCAATATAAGAATTGCTTTACAAAAAGGAATTAGCAAAGAAATGTTAGAATGTACCCAAAGACATCCTATACTCAGTTCAAAACTGCAAATGTATAGGTATTCAAGTTAATCACATAAGCTATACCATTCTTATTCCATAATAAACGGTTATTATCTTGAACTAATCCTTTTATTATCTTCATGAGTCTTGAATTAAAGATTGGCTTTCAGTTACAAATGAGAATTAACTGGGCCAGTTGGGCCACATTAACGATTGAGCTGAAGTTCGGTCCAGGTTGAGTCCCCATAATACTGCCTGGATAATGTTTACCTCAATGACATTACTTGTTGGGCTTTTTGTTTGTTTTACCATTCCCCTTTCAATTTTCTTATTACTTCAGTTATCATCTGATATTTTAGATTTTTCCCAAGAATCTGTGAGGTTCATTTTAAAGCTACCATGATATTCTAATATATGACATTAATACCTATCTAGTAACTTCTTGCAAATTCATACATAAGATAAAAATGTAAAGGGTGATACTATTCTCTTAATATTTTTATGAATTTTCTTATATTTGTATACACTATCTCTTACACACTATCTATCTCTAAGAAACTTGAATAAATCAATAAATACTGCAGTCCAATCCAGTCCAGTATGCTTAACATAGTCTCCATTAATCTGGAGTATTTTTGGAGTATAGATTGATTTTTGTACCACAGCAGAACAACTCTCTGTGCTGAGCAGTGTTGCATCTCAAGCAAACAACTCAGCACAGCTTCTCTCTTTGGTGTTGTCCAGTAACAATACTGTGCCTTCTTAAAGTCTTCATTCTCCCCAGGTACAAACTTTATTTCTCTCAATTACATAGTAAGCTGGAGATAAGGCCTTAATCTGATAGCAACCTCTACATAATCAATGATAATAGTTGATGGGAAGAAAAGTGAATCAGTGATGCAGCAGAATAATTGTCAAGTGCTTCCTTTAGGAAATGTTCTGTTAAAAAAAATCACTTCCTTTTATTTCTGTTTTAGAGACAGGGTCTCACTCTCTCAGCCATGCTGTATCATAGCTCACTGCAGCCTTCAACTCCTGGCCTCAAGTGATCCTCCTTCTTCCACCCACCAAAGCCCTAGGATTACAGGCATGAGCCACCATGTATGGCCTAAAAAAATAATTTTCAATATTATTATTGTTTATATGTTAAAAGATGACCAGAAATTGATAGTTTTAAGATTAAACTATGCTTCTCATTGACAAGGCAGGAATGAAAGTCAGAAATTTGTTCAGTGATTATTTTACTCTTATCCCACAAAATACCTATTTTCCCCACCAGTTAGGATAAGCTATGGTTGTCATCTTAATCAGCACTTATATCCTACTCCTTTACCAATGCTTGATAATGATATTAATGATTACTAGTCACTTACTATATTGTATTACCAAGAAATGCTCTAAGAGTTTTACATATACTCATTGATTACTCATGACATCACTATACAGTAGGTGCTATTTTCATTTGCCATTTTATATGGGGAATCAGAGGCATGGAAATTTTAAGTAATCTGTACAATGCTATCATTAGTAAGTGATGGGGCCTAGATTAAAATAAAGATGACGGCAGAGAAAAGATGGCCAACTAGAAGCAACCACATTTGGAGGCTCCCATTGAAAAAAAAATAACATAATAAGCATGTGAATCCTTCAGTGGCAACAAAGATATCCAGGTTCTCTTATCAAAACTGACTAAAAGGCTGGCATGACCCACAGAAAGAAGGAAAAGCAGTGTGATGCCGCAGCCCACACGAGAGCCACATGGGGAAGGGGAACTCCCTTCCCGCAGCCAAGGGAGGTGGTGAGCAAGTGCACTACCCATTTGGGGAAATTGCTTTTCCCATGGAACTGTGCAACCCATAGATTGGTTGATGCCACTTGTGAACCCACACCACTGGGGCCTAGCATCCCAACCCCAGAATTCATGGGTTCTTATATCCTCTTAGCTGGACTCTGCTTAAGCCTATCAAACTCCCAAGGAAAGTGGAGAACCAGCAGGGTTGTGGCTGCCTGCTGTCTAAGCCATTTGAGCTCCTCGGGGGACGGGCAGCAGCCAGCACTGAGACCCACAGCTACCTAACACGCTAAGCTCCCTGGGCAGACAAGGGCAGCATCCATTTCTAAAGCTCCAGGGTATGCTTTTCCCCTACTGGAGCAAGGGAGATTAGACAGCTTGGTCCCAAGACTTGTTCCCACAGCCCAATACACTGACTGTGAATACACCGGCTATGGCAGTCTGTGACCAGAGTGTCTCTTCAGGTCCAACCCTTACCTATCCTCCCTCAGTGGGTGGGGCTTCCCTGGAAGATTTCCAGTAACTACAGCCAGGCTCACAGACAGAACTCAGATCTCCCTGGGCCTCAGCCCCTAGCAGGAAGAGTGGCTGCAGTCACTGTGGACCAGCAGACTTAGGCTCTCCTCCTGGTAGTTATAAGAAATCCGGGCAGCCCAGAAGATTGAGTTTCCCCCCAGTGAAACACATCATCTACACCAGCAGACAAAGTGCTTAGTTAAATGGGCCTTGTTCCTCATGCCAACCAACTGGGTAAGACCCTCCAACAGGAGTAGTCAGATAACCTATACAAAAACAATCCTCCTGGCATCAGGTTGGTGGCCCTCAAGGTCAGAGGCCCCAGAAGAAGGAGCAGGAACCCATCTTGGCTGCTCTTCAGCCTCCTTGAGTGACATCTTCAGGCATGGGAGCACATCAGATGAACAGGCCTGAAGTGAACCCTCAGTAAACTGCAACACCCCTACAAAAGAGAAACCTGACTATGGAAAGGAAAGCAAGCAAGCACAAAGTAACAACAACAGCATCAACAATAAGAAAAAAAAGGGGGGCCCACAAAAACCCCATCCGTTTCAGCATCCTCAAAGACTGAAACTAGACAAACTCACAAAGATGAGAAAGAATCAATGAAAAAATGCTAAAAACCCCAAAAGGCCAGAGTGTTTCTTCTCCTAAACATGATTGCAACATCTCTCCATCAGGTGTCCAGAACTGGGCAGAAGATCAGATGGATGAATTGACAGAAGTAGACTTCACAAGATGGGTAATTAAAAAACTATGATGAGCTAAAGGAACATGTTCTAACACCATGCAAAGAAACTAAGAACCTTGATAAAGGGTTAGAGGAAGAGATAACTAGAATAACCAGTTTAGAGAAGAACATAAATTACTTGATGGCACTGAAATACACTGCACGAGAACTTTGTGAAGCATACACAAGTATCAACAGCTGAAATGACCAAGTGGAAGAAAGGATAACAGAGTTTGAAGATGACCTTGCTGAAATAAGATATGTAGACAAGAAAAGGGAAAAAAGAATGAAAAAGGATAAACAAAGCCTCCAAGAAGTAAAGGACATCATAAAAAGACCAAACTTATGATTGATTGGAGTACCAGAAGGAGACAGAGAGAATAGAAACAAGCTGGAAAACACACTTGAGGATATTATCCAGGAGAACTTCCCCAACCTAGCAAGGCAGGCCACATGCAAATTCAGGAAATACAGAGAACATCATTAAGATACTCTACAAGAAGATCAGTCCCAAGACATATAATCATCAGAGTCTCCAAGGTCAAAATGAAGGAAAAACTGTTAAGAGCACCTGAAGAGAAAGGCCAGGTCACCTACAAAGGGAAGCCCATCAGACTAACAGTTGACCTCTCAGCAGAAACTCTACAAGCCACAAGAAAATGGGGGCCAATATTCAACATTCTTAAAGAAAATAATTTTAAACCCAGAATCTCGTATCCAGCCAAACTAATCTTCATAAGCAAAGGAGAAGTAAAATCCTTTACAAACAAGCAAATGTGAAGGTATTTCATTACCACCAGGCCTTCCCTGAAAGAGCTCCTAAAAGAAGCACTGAATATGGAAAGGAAAAACCAATACCTGCCACTGCAAAAACACACCAAAATATAAAGACCAATGACACTATGAAGAACCCATATCATCTAGTGTGCAAAACA